CCTTGATCATAGCTCAAATTCTGAACCTTTCCATGTAATCCGCAAAAGCATCGAAATCTGAATGTATGTCCAACCATTTCATCAGATGATCCATCGCAACGCCAATGTGATAATTAGGAGTATTTGAATTATAGTAGAAACTAAGAATCCCAGAAATAACGCATTTGGATCAAGAAGTACTAGATAAGCACAAACGAATGTACTATATTTATAATTCGAAATCAAGCATTCGACAATTACAAAGGAATTATTAGTTCATACAAACACTTTCCCAGAAAACTGATTCCTGATTTCGATCTTGCAATCTACTGAAATTAGTGCATTCAGAAAACGACTGAATCAAGAATCTTGATTGTGCAATCTATAAATTTTCGATAAATAATCTGAGGTCGTTAGTGAAGATTCACTCGAACAAATTATTGTGTAACTTCACATTAAAATACCCGGTTAATCATGCAAAGTAAAACCTATAATCTAAAACTACAAATGTTTTCCACCAAACAAGAAAGCTAATAAAATACCTTGGAGGCATTCAAATACAGTCGTACTAAAACAATACAGTAGCCAACTTTTATGTTATCAGTGGGGCTGTTGGCTCTCTCACTTAGCACTAGTGATAAAATCCCAACATTTAAGTTTATGAAATTATTAGGAAACATTTATACACTGACTGATTGCTTGGTTGCAATCGACATTATATTTGCCTTGTGTTTAGTGCTACTATACTTCCATCAAAGTACAATGCTACTGTGATTCCGACTAACTCAACATCATGTGTTACTATTCGATGCCCCAACCTTACAGGCGGTCAGTTACCGACCAGGTAGCTTAGAAGTGGCATCTCAAAGTTAAACATTAAATGACGTGGGTTTGAACCCAACAGAAGTGTCAGTCCTCTTAAGATCGCAGGTAAGCTTGATCACGAGTGTCATCAAGCACAAAACATATACCCAAACGTCCTCCGGATTATCTGAAGTCACCTATTACTAAATGAAAAGTTGTCTATGAAGGCATCTTATAATGAAACTATTTTTGGTCCTATGAATCTCTCAACTTTATACAAAAAGCAATATTAATTTGTCCAGCTACCTTTAAGCAGACTATGGTTTCTTAATTAAACATATTTCTTATAATCAGTGGTAGATAATCTTCGAGTGACGGATCTATGGTCCATTCGAATGAAGTAAGCACCCACTGTGTCATGAGAATAGAACCACTTTCACACGAAAGCGTATTTATGCTAACTGTTTCTTTATCTTAATGCTTTAAATGTGCGAACTGGACAGATCTTCATTAAAAAGGGACACTATATCTGCGCTCTTAAATTCGCATCCAGTGGTGCTTTCTTTTACATCAACTGACAGATTGAAGACGTCTATAAGTTTATACGGAATTGTGCTAGTGTGACAAGCTGTACACTAAAAACTGTGTAATGTTAACCGTCCTTACAGCTCGTAATTTAAGAAAATCACTCCTGAGTGTAACCATCGTCTTTTACCATTAGACTATCAATGATACAATGATGAATAATTTAGTGAATGACAGTGACGGAATTCTTTAGATTTTAACGAACGAAAATGAGACCTGTGAAGTATGGTATCTTGTTTCAGTAAAAATCTCTGAAAACGTTATGCAGTTCTGGAAGGTGACAGAATAATTTCGGATCATTCTGAGGTTTCGATAAGAACAAGACAAATTTTGTTGATCTGACTAGTAAAATCAATGCGTCACTTGAAAACACTAAGGTGAATAACTTCATTTGATGGTTTTTAGACTTGGTCTTAATTCGACCAACCTATGCACATTATATCTCAAAATCGTTTAAGTTTTAAAAAAAATATTTGATCATATTAAGTTGTCACTTTACTAGTAAATTAATCTATGTCGCTCACTAAATGTGTTATGTTTGTCCTTGATTCATATGAAAACTTCGGTCAATAAATGTCTCTTGACCAGTTATGACAATCATATAACGATATCGTCAATCTTGTATGTTATCATTTCTATAGATAAAATCCTTTGTATGGTAAATTCAAAAATATTTTTATATAACAGTGAAACATTGATAAAAATCGTTTGCGTCGAACGAGCAGAAATGATTATTCCTCCAGAAAATATATTTACTACACTCAAAACCTGAGTGTAGTTAACCAGATATTAAAAGATTCCACTGAGGTTTCGAAAAGATATATTAAAGATGAATATCACAGTTTAAGTGCAGTGATTTCAAACAGTTTACTTACTTACGCCTGTTACTCCCAATGGAGCATAGGCCGCCGACCAGCATTCTCCAACCCACTTTGTCCTGGGCGTCCTTTTCTAATTCCATCCAATTCTTGTTCATCTTTTTCATGTCTATTTCCATTTCTCGGCGTAATGTGTTCTTTGGTCTTCCTCTTTTCCTTTGGCCTTGAGGATTCCATGTGAGAGCTTGTCTTGTGACGCAGTTGTGTGCTTTCCTCAATGTGTGTTCTATCCACTTCCAGCGCTTCTTCCTGATTTCTTCCTCCGCTGGGATCTGGTTTGTTCTCTCCCACAGTACGTTGTTGCTAATAGTGTCCGGCCAACGGATCTGAAGTATTTTGCGTAGACAACTGTTAATAAACACCTGTATCTTCTGGATGATGGCTTTCGTAGTTCTTCAGGTTTCCGCCCCATACAGTAGAACTGTCTTGACATTTGTATTGAAAATCCTGACCTTGGTGTTGGTTGACAGTTGCTTTGAGTTTCAGATGTTCCTCAGTTGTAAATATGCTGCTCTTGCTTTGCCGATCCACATCTTCACATCTGCATCAGATCCACCCTGTTCATCAATGATGCTGCCCAAATATGTAAAGGTTTTTACATCTTCCAAATCTTCCCCGTCAATTGTGATTGGATCGGTGCATGCTGTGTTGTATCGGAGAACCTTGCTCTTCCCTTTGTGTATATTGAGACCTACTGCTGCTGAGGCTGCTGCTACGCTGGTCGTCTTCTCCTGCATTTGTTGTTGCGTTTGGGATAGAAGGGCCAGATCATCTGCGAAGTCCAGATCGTCCAACTGCATCCTAGATGTCCATTGTATCCCGTGCTTCCCTTCAGATGTTGACGTCTTCATGATCCAGTCGATCACGAGGAGAAAGAGAAAGGGTGAGAGTAACCAACCTTGCCTAACACCGGTCTTCACTTCGAACGACTTTGTCAACTGTCCTCCATGCACGATTTTGTAGTGTAATCCATCATAGGAATTCCGTATGATATTGACTATCTTCTGAGGCACGCCGTAGTGTCGAAGAAGTTTCCATAGTGTTGTTCTGTCCACGCTATCAAATGCCTTTTCGTAGTCAATGAAGTTGATGTAGAGTGATGAATTCCATTCAATTGATTGTTCCACAATGATCCGTAGAGTTGCGATTTGGTCTGTACACGATCTATCCTTACGGAATCCTGCCTGTTGGTCACGAAGTTGGGCGTCTACGCAGTCCTTCATTCTGTTTAACAATACTCTGTTGAAGACTTTTCCCGGTATTGAAAGAAGAGTGATGCCCCTGTAGTTATCACAGTTGCTGAGATCGCCTTTCTTCGGTATTTTGATCAGAAGTCCTTCTTTCCAGTCTGTTGGTACTTGTTCCTCATCCCAAATCTTATTGAAAAGAATGTGGAGTATCCTTGCAGTTGCCGCCACGTCTGCTTTTAGTGCCTCTGCTGGAATGTTGTCCGGTCCTGCTGCTTTGCCACTCTTGATTTGTCTGACAAACAGTGATACAATAAAATTAACAGAAAACCTGGTGTTCTTATTTGAATTGGAATTTAGAACCCGTATTTTTCACTGACTGCCTACACGTATCATAGTTAAATAAATATGATTGATACAATTTTTTCTAGATACATGTCTATACTAATATATATAATATATAGATAAACATCAGAACTAAGGTAACCTTGCAAAATGCATTTAAACCAAACAGTAGACACTTAGATTTTTCATGTAAATAGGAATTACACTTATCCGACCTAATACCGTATGGAAGGTAGACTCTACTGACATAATCGAAGACTAAAATATCAGTTTGTACAAACTACAAAATTAGTTCCTTATATTTCCTAAATGTGTGATTGTTCATAAGTTTCCCTGAAGTCAATGGGATGAGAACCGATTGAGAAAATAATTATATAACTCACCAGCCACTGGGAATTCATTTGAATTACTATGCATCTGAAAAGGTGGCTAGCAATTTTGAAGTGGGTGATGGCCAATAACTATTTAGAACAGGAATCCCAGAATGTAATGTAATCAGATCATTTGTTTAACAAATTAGTGTCGTAACATCATGAAGTTCATCCACGTTATGATGGCATGAAATACATTTAGACTGAAATAAATAATGACTAAACTCATTTAATCAACAATGGACTGAAGTAAACGAGTTGGACACCACTTATTTGTCTTCGCTTCACCACTAACATTTCAGACTCCATAGTAACGTTAGGTTTGATAAATTAGTCGAGTTGTATCTAGTTAATTAATCCCAATATCAATCTATTTACTCCTTTTTAGCATTTTGATGTTTCTCTAACTTTTAATAAAATTTCCCTTGTGAGAATTAATTCTTCAATCCTATTGATTAAATGGAAATTAATATCTGGCTTTATCAGAAAACCCACATATCTTTAGCAACCATTCATCTAATGTAACGAAAACCAATAAAAACATGTGTCATAAAAAAACGCTCAGTTTTTATATACCAACGACAATAAGTCAGACTTGTAGCTATAGGTCAGTAGTAAGTAGACTTAATCATACATTTTCACACTACACCGGCTAAAAAATTCGAACATAAGTGATAGACGTGGCAATACCACTATCACTACAAGATGCAATTCAGCGATTCATCTAATGACCACTACAATGTATTCTGAATCGAAAGTGGCAAACAATAAAAATGTAATCCTATTCCATTTCAAACCTATAATAACTTTCTATAATTATGGACAAAAAACAATCATGAACATGCCTGTCTCGTCTCACATAAATTTTGTTATTTTTCAGTAATTTTTATCATGGTTAAAGAAACAAAGTTCATGCTGCACAGTAGAATGTAAACTGAACATGAAAGATAAGAAACAGGAAAAGAAGATAACTAGCCAACCATTGAGATACTCTTAAACGTGTGAACAAAAAAGATGAGTTGGAAAAGTGTGCATAAGTCGTAAATACAAAACAAAGACCACAATTTTAGTATCGATTACAAAGCGTTAAGCAACACATTTAAAAAGGGGAAGGTAGGAACAAAATTATGAAGAAGAATAACACGAAGACGCAACGACTAGACCATAATGCTTAGTTTGGAAACAAAAGAAATAGCATAAGTCATACGAAGATATTAAAAAAGTGATTAGAAGGGTCTAGAAGACAAATCTTAGAAGAGAGACAAATTGGCAGCTGAGACAAACCATTTAAAGCAGATTCTGCTGTTATGTTAACCGATTAGGAGATAATAACGCAAAAAAATATATCGAGTTGTAATAGTAAAGTAACAATAAAATTAGGGTACATAAACTCCAGAAAAAAGGTCAAACTCTCTGAAGGTTATCAAAATGCAAAGTTGGGTCCCCGTAAGACGAATCACGAGTTTCGAAAAGCTCTTAAACAGTTAATAAAACTTAGTTTTCTTTCCACACTGCTGTCCGGATAAAAATTAATAACGGAAATACAGCAAAATAAGAATTTTTGATGTAAACATACGATAAGACAAAAACAACTCAGCTCTTATAATGTCTGATTGCTACTACATCGTAGATGAATTTGAGATGGCATCTGAATGCGAAACTGATGGAGACATCATAGGAAACCTTAAGGTATCAGTATTTTGTGAATCTAAACACACTTGTCTACTCTGTAAACCTGTTGAAGTTAAATTTGACAAGATAGAACTATTGCAGTTAGAACTATTTAAATTTGAGTGGATGAAAGTACCGGCTGGTGATGATGACCCAACGGGACCAAATGTAGTGAAATCAAAAGAGTTGGGCTTATCATCAGTGGAACCTCTCATCCCAAATTGAAAACAACTAGGTTCATTAGATGTCATGAATATCGAATGTGGGTTGAGATTAGTAAAGTTGTCACATACTGAACTATTAAAATTCAAACTGCTGTACGATTGAGATGATAGATCTTCCTGGTGACCAACTGTATGCACTGGATCTGTGGAATATGAGTCAGGTGCAATCCGAGGACTATATGAACTAACTGCAGTTGGGGTTGTTGACATGGACTCAGTGACACAAACTGAAGAATTTGCAACCACTTCTAAAGATGGCAATGATAATGTTCCATTAATAGAGTGTGAATAATGCAAAACACTAGAAGCAATATCACCATGTAAGAGGCCAGGAGGTGGAACAAACAAAGGCGGGGGTGACGAAGCTTGGGCTGAATTCCCGATAGTCATTGGTCTGGTACTACACAACGGCATAGATCTGGTTGGTAAAACTCTATTTAAAACAGCATTATCATATGACGTGTATCCTCCATTCATACATTTCATACCAAGGGTTTCGAAATGACTGAGATGAAAGGCGTTTGAATTAGATAGTTTGTCCGGACGAAAATGCATTCTATTATTTATGTGACAATGGTCATTTAGACTTGTTTGATAACCTAGTCCAGTATTGGTTAGTGACGACGACGATGGAATAACCTCTTCTGACGAAGTAAGATGACCGAAATAGTCTAAATTATTAAGATTAGTGGAATTATTTATTTCAGAAATTCCATGAAATTTTCTATCAGTAACAGGAAAGGGGGATGTGAAGAAAGGCTTTGATTTGGCACAACGATCAGCAAAATAAATGCTTGACTTTTGATTTGATAGATTATTCAATGGCGCAGATGTTTCATATGGAGTCAGGGAGTAAGACTGATTATAAGAATTCATTCTGTTTGTCGACCCAGATTTAGAAACAATTCTGTCTATATGGTTGTGCTCATCTATTTGTGTTTTGTTAAAGTTTGTGTACATCTGTGAAGTATCTGTGACAGAATATGAGTTTATTACACATTCTTCGTTAGGAATGCCATCCAAAGGGATCGAAATGTTTGAAACTTTAGCACAATTTGATGTTGAAGCATTCATTCTGCTTACATACTCACAGAGATTTGGAGTAAGGCAATTTAAGCGCTTGTTAAGTTCGACGATTTGGTACTCCTTCTTTGTAAGTGTAGCTGGAAGAGTAGTTAATTTTTTTTTAAAAGCTTGATAATTTGAACCAACAAAAGCAAATTGATAATAAAAAATATATATGCAGTCCCAGGGTAGTTGGCGACAAAATATGGGTTTGTATGCCATTTCCCCTCAGGATACTGGAGTTCATGTGCTTCACTAGTTTGAAATCAGGTTTTCCAACACCCCTAGGTGGACGCTCTGTATACACCAACCCGGTTAAAGCACCGGACATTCGCTTTTCATCCTCTCAATTTCGTAAACAAAACCCTTGTCGTGAGAAGGCAGTGAACAGAACTTCCTTGATAGTGGCTGTATACGCGTGGCCGTTCGAGAGCATTTCGAGAGGGAGAACTGGCTGTCCCCACCCTCGGCCGTACCACGGCATTGGGATGGCAAGTGAATAATAATCGGATAGAAAAATTATGGACGAGACTTGCGTTGATATAGTTCTCACCTAGTGAATGATTTAGGGGACAAACATGCAGGCTCCATGACACAAGTTCATCTTTTCGACTGATATCTAAGAAAGGTAGCAGGTTATTATTCTTTTCTTAACATGAAAGTATAACGTAACTTTAAAGATATTGAGTTTCCTTAACAAACAATTTTGACCTTTATTATTACTACATATGACTACTGTATCATCTACATACGCCTTGTACATAGTCATTTTCGGCTAAATCGGAACGTATTGCGCTCGTGTATCACACAGTTATAACAAACCTCATCTGCTCATTCTATCATACAAATTTATCAAACGGAATGTTATTTGATTATATTTTCCTTGAAAAAGCTTGGACCAGATTGCCAGGCGAAACGTTGGATTTACTTAAAAATTCATTCGCTGAGATTTTACAAATATATTCTTCTTTTTAATGGAGTGTCCTAAAGTTTTAAAACTTTCCTTTAAACAAGTCAACTCAGATCAATAGTTGGCAACTAGACTAATAAACCGAAGAAGTCAAGTCAAAAGACGTAATAAGGTTGAATGATGCAAGTGTGAGTGAGTCATGATGATTATTTTGGATATTCACATGACTAAGGATTATTAACTACAATATTTCTTACCTGCATCAATCCAATTACCTGGAAATATGTATGAGTTGTAAATGCCATCGCTTAATGATGGGGTTTCGCCTATAATTGTCTTGCATTCCCGTACAATTAGTTTAATATTGAGACTTATATGTGTACCATAGTAGCTATGTCAGACCACAGACCAGACCTTATGAATATTTATAGTATTACATTAAAATCAAAAATAATCAGTTATATGATGACAAAAGGTAAATAATAAAGCAACTGAAACAAACCATTTAATTCTGTTATCTCTTTTAGAGAAGAATGGTAAGCCGTCATAAGCTCCTGTTTCATTTTGTCTTCCTCTTTTAAGGTGTCTGTCAGACGTTGATTTTCTTCTTGCAAAGAGTTTACACGAGAGGCAAGATCACTTAATTCAGTCTCAGTTATTTCATGCTTTTGCCGCCGTTTGCTCATATTGTAGTTTTGTTCTACAGAATTAGATTGTTTTGTTCGTTCATTTTTAGTTTGCTTTTTCCATGTCTTATCATTGGATTCACTTAGTCCACCATGTGAAAAACGTTCAGAGTTCAGTGCTGTAAGTTGATTATTTTTAAGAGTTAAAGCTTTTGTAAGATTTTGCAATTCTAATTCTAGTTCCTGCCTTCGTTTTGCGCATAATTCATTGTTTTTACATGCTTCAACGCATATGGGATCACAGGAATTTAATGAAGTACTTCGAGATTCAGTCATTGAAGCTCTGAAATAGGAAAAAAAATTTCTAAAGAGACGAGAAAAGACAGTAAAAATTAGACAAATTTAAGTGACAAGTCATAAACTAATAATTTCATAATAACACATTAAAACTCGGCAGATATCATGATCATTGTAGCCTTAGCCAAACGGTCAACGGAATGATGTGACGATATGAAACTAGACAAAAATCAACTATATATATAATCATGGACAAACGATATGCCGAACAAATTAAGAACATTCTAGCCAAAGGAACCATGAAAATATATTTCCTGAATCTTAATAACCAGACTCTAAATATTAAAATACGAATTCTTTGGAGTTTGATGTGTATTTTACTGTAAATTTATACCTAGTTGAACATTCATTTAGAATTTTATGAGTTGTTTAGAGCTGGGTTTATTATGCAGATATACCTAAAGACATCCGTTAGAAATGTTGAATTACGAAGATAATATATTTTAATTGTCTGATAAGTTACGAGTAATTTAATGGTGGGTAATCACTCCGTGCGAGGATAACACACCATGGTGTACGAATACAATCTTTCATTTGAAAAAGTAAATATATCTCCCTAATTTTCATTAACCTCAACTATTTTTATACAAACTAATTAATTACACGTAATAAATGTCGAGACTAAAGCACTCATTATCGAGGAAGGTATAGATTAAATAAAACCTTACTTACTTTGAATCTGTAGTTTTAGAAATAACTGGTTCGTTAGATGTTGATTCTGAGGAGCTTGCTTCTATTTGTTTACCAGATTGCTGTTTGAACTGCTGTTCGAGAAGCAAACGATATTTACGCTCTTCAGTGAGACGTTTCTCAGCTGCCTGTAGACTGGCACGATCCGCCTGTAACACGAAACTCAGTGGCACAACTTAGTGTATAAATGATTTAAAAGATACAAGGCTAGTCAAAGTATGTAATATTAAGTTGGAAAAGAACTACATGACTACGTATAAAATCAGAAGAGTTTAAGTTTTAGGTGACCCTGAACTGAACAATTGGTGATCAGAATTTAGAAAAAGTGGAGGATAAATTTCACTAAAAACTGAAATCCAGCAGAATAGACCAAACGCAGATGAATTTCCTGTTTCCAAAACTAAATTAGGTGGGCATTGCTAGAATAATTTGAAGATTTTGACTAACAATAAACGTTTAGGTCAATATTCCTCCAACAATCATTAGTTTCTGCAAAACACAAAGTAAGAGCAGATACCGAAACATCAGTAGATATAGTGACCAGAGATGGGTTTATAGTTGTAAAGATTTATACTTAGTGAATTTGAAAAATTAAGTAGGAAGAGAATACTTTTAGTTTTCATGCAGATTTGAAATTGACAAGATTCATTTTTATACCAGATTTTTTAATGACATCATGGAGAAGTCTCATGCATCATATACTTAAAATAAATAATCATCCTTAACAATTCATTCAAGTGATTCAATAATATGAAAAAATCCATTTCTGATGTAGTAGTGGGGCGTTTGGTGTTCATATTTATGGTGAGATAACATCAATCGTCAATGACTCAAGCTAATTACCTTGGTATTGTAAATAGAATAGCTTTCGGAGCATTAGATATATTTGACGCATAAATGAAAACGAAAAATGTAAAGACTTAACAGTACTAATGACCTGTAAGCAGTTAAAGTAATGGAGAGGTAATAACAAAAAATATCCAGTTACTGCAAACGTTTAGTAGACTAAAGGATGATCTATTCTATTCCAAAAGACTGGGACTTACCAAGCCAGTATAAAACAATGTAATCAAGTGTTAACGCATTAAATCTAAGTCAGTTTCTGCTAAAAAAACGTGTAGAATAATAATTGCAGGTAGTATTTAATGAATAAATAAAAAGAGTATTTCTGATAGTTTTGTCGCAAGAAGGATTATGTCAGGATTTTTAGTACCTAGCTAGTGATAAGAAGGAAAGGCCTCAACCCCAAAAAGAATAATAGGAGAAGTATATCTTACAATAACATATTATATCTCATATCAATTAGTAAAGTTAAATTAAACTGAGACTAGATTACTTTAACATGCTTCGTAACCTGATTACGAATTCAATATACATGAATCGTTAACGTTTTCTCCATATTCAAAGTCTGTAGACTGTAGAAACAATAATATGCGTTTTAAAGCTATTCATGAGACCTTTTTCTTTGTACTTAATAAATAATACAAATTTATACAGATTGTTAGTGTATACCAGAATAAAATACACTTGACATGAAAAAGAAGGAAGTTGATGAATGGAAACGTTAAAATCAATCAAAAAGAAAGGGAGACAACACCCAGTCAGTAGTAATGGAATAATGTGCACATGAAATAATGACGTCATTTATTGAGTATATACGCACTATCATTATTATTGTGTACGAAAATGTTAAAGAAAGAGAAGGAAGGAACAAGTATTAAAATATACTTATTAAATCATAATAAAAAAAGTAGGATCAAGGATTGAATTTTGTTTAGTTGTAGTGTTCAATCAATAACAAAAGTGTAACCACTTGTTTAATCAATCTATAAGAAAATGACCTGAATCAGGTGTCTGAGCAATATTTAACTTTTTGAAATAAAATAATAGAAACTAGAGAGAAATTCACGCCTGGGTGTATATGACCTAAAAGATGAAATCAGGTCAAATATGAGAAGTGTAGCAAAATCAAATCTCCAAATATAGACTAAGGCAAAAATGACTGACAGGCAAAAGAAAAACAGTATTAATGTAGTTAAAAAATAACCTAAATTGATTTGGCCAATAAAACACCCACAACGAGAATTAACAAAATAAAGTAACCCTGATAATCATATAACCTTGCCAAAATATGGGAACTCGAAGGTGAATAAAAGAATTTAAAAAACACATTTTCGGACTTTTATCGATAATCGAAAAACGATGGAAAAATCAAGATCAAAGGGCTTCAAGTACAATAATTAATTATTATGCTGACTCGGTGATTTTGTTATAAATGCATACGCATTATATAATCTGTCCCTCTGATCAAACAAATAAATAAATAAAATATCAATAATATTCTTTTAATATGACAGCTGAGATAAGTCGATAAAAAGGTGATTTATTAAATAAATGGAAATTCGAAATATATAGCGATAGATGATCAGTTACTTTCAGATAGTAGACAATCTGATAGCTGCATAACATAGCCAATTTCGGCCGAAAAGATGAGTTTGAGAATATACATAAAGATAAATATGTTTGTGAACCCCATGAGAAAATAGACAAAAAACAAGATAAACGAATTAGTAAATTGACTAAAAATTACAACAGCGACAGTAATAAAGGGTGATGGAAACATAACTTATCAAAAGATTAAAGAAATAATGAGATCCTAATAGTGAAGGTTATTACATACCTGAAGGCGTTGAGTCAACTGGTTGAGTTTGGCTTGCAAACTTTCAGATTCTTGCTGAGCTTGAGAACTTTCAGAGCGATATGTTCGTTCAGCAGCAAGTAACTGCTGAACTTGACCACGTAACTGAATTTCTGAACTACGTAAAGACTGGATTTCCGATTTTAAATTTCTAGCCTCGGCTTCTAGTCTATAATTCAGATAACAATCCAAAATGAAGAAAATTGTGAATAGGTCATACAAACCTACGAAATAGATATTGAAATAAAAGCAACAATATATTGGTCATAATCGATATGTGAATGTGCTGAACTGACAATTACAACTGTAGATCGGAGTTTAGCAACGTTATGTGCTTGATCATAAAAAGTATACTGAACTGAAGTACGATTAGTGGTTTAGTGATTATCAACTAATTACCAATCTAACATCAAACTATAATAGATAATAAAATACTTGCATCAATAATATTTGTACCACTGACAGACTCAAAGTTAGGAAATATGGCCTCGAAATATCTATGATTATTGTTTGTAAACCTCAGTTGGGAGGGATAGGTCTCCGCGGCTTAGACCACCGGTTAGTGGATTTTTTAAACTGCTATTATGCTCTGGTCAGGATACACTTAGTTTTCATCTAACCTGCTTCTATTTTGCCGGGTAGACACAATATGAGGTTATGGGTGAATACTCAAGGCTATTACACCCCAGTCGATGAAGGTTCTCAGAATCCTCTTTTGTCTAATTTTCCACATCCTACAACTTCATTGTTGACTTGGAGGCTTGACCATGAGAGAAGTAATTCAGAAACATTTGTAGTGAAGTACCGGTTGTATGGTTCAAAAGCGGACTCCTGTATAGTATGTTTGACAGATAACTGGATATCACAACCTCGTGCACAAGTGGCTTAATGAAATTGAAATCCAACAAACTGTGTCCATATTGATATTCTGTTATCTGTCAAACTAACAGGACCGATAAAACTACCAAGACAAGAGAAGTGATCAAGATGTAAATAAATTTATTTACACTTAGTAATGATGGATTATTGCCCATCGATTAACTTATTTTGAACATTCGGTTAGTGAAAATTGAACTGATGTTTAAGGGTTTTTTTCATGAATTTGCTTTTCTTTTGATTCACCACACCGAAAATTTACGACTTAAATTTGTGATCCAATGTCATGCTTTAATCAGGTAGATAGTTATATCACGACAATAATGAAAGCATCTAAAACCGATTATTGGTCCTGAATATCGAAGGATGTATTATGTAATCGACTATCAATGATGAAATCAATCTCATTAGGTAGTAGTGTAGAGAAGGAGAACTCAAGTGGGGCGAACCAATTTATTGTTTTATGCAAAATTGAAGTGAATTAGTAAAATGTGAAAATCATGCATTAAATATATCATTTGCACAGTTTCTTTGCGTTGCCCTTTACATATTCCACTATTCCTTTAATTCCGTTGTTGTTTCGATTACTCTCCGATTTTCCAACAGTTCTCCTCATTTCAATGTTCTGCTGACAGGCATTCCACGTCTGATTGCTGCTACATACTTGCACATACAACATAAGTAGTAATAATAATAATACGTAGTTTTAACTCTAACAAAATATTCCCTAAGTTTCGCATTTAAAAAACATTAGCAGTGAAACTGAAAAAAAAACATTCTGAATTAGGATGACAATGCACATATTGCGAATCAGTAATGACCTAAGAAATACAATAATTGGATAGAATAACCACTAATTTTATATACATTAGAAACTTGACAATAAAAAAACTTTTATATGTATGATATATGGTTGAGTTAACTTTACAAATGTGCAGACAAAAATGTATCTCGAAAAATATTGCATCAAGTTTTGACGGTGAAATTTATCTCGAGGAAGCGATTGGTGAAAATGTGATAATTCTGTGAGAATCATTGTCTAGGGATTTAGTATATTTGTAAATTTAATCTGCGTCTACCAAACAACTGGTTTATGGTATTTTACTTGGTTCTAATCGCGAACTTTTACTTGACTAATTTCGTTTCCTTAATATTTGATACTTCTTTTACTGACCGTAAATTACAACAAATAATTTAGACTTATTGCTGAGATCTGTATCACAAATGCCCTGGTTATGTGTACAATGAGAATTAATATTTATGGTGTGTTGCGTTTTTTATTCTATGTACATAATAACGTGAGTCTTTAAATCAGAATATATGAATATAAGATAAAGCTGGCTGGTTTTTCTGGTATCCTGGTTGGTCCATTGAGGTCGTTGTGTTGGCTATCGATTGTTAGCATACACAGTGACTGTGTTAGCAGACTCAGTGCTACAGATCATAGACTGAAGCGACGACAATCCTCACAGATTTCATACACATAGTTCCCTTTATCATCATTCACAGATTTATCAGATTACATGATTGATTAATGTGTTGAATTGTTCGAATTCTGAAAAACAATTACAGATAGTTTGTTGCTGGGACTTATATTTTTCACTGGACTTCATAGTTCGGCAATTCTGAATAATGACGTGATCAAGAATTGGTTACAGAACCCCAGACAAGTGAGGGATAGCACCTTACATAACTATGGGCTGAGACTTAACAGCAGTACGATGGTAACGCTACTGTCGAGAAATGTATTTCAAAGTTGAGAATGAAGCGTCTAAATAGTTGTTCGGAAAAGAAAGTATAATATAGAGAAGTGTACATGCGGTTTGGGTACGTAGCTTTTTCTTAAAAATAATTGGCAGGTGTGCGGAATACAGGACTAAATACCACAAAAAGGTTATTTTCAGTGGGATTTAAATAATAAAAATAAACAGTTTTACCTATAGTAGGATAGTATGTTTTATCTAGGACAACAGTGTACACAGATGATTAAGAGCCTATACACGCCTTCACAAACGAGGCTACATTTATTGAAGGGTCGTCCATAAACAAACTTTTGTAGACCCGACGACAGGTGTACACACTAATAATGCAGAAACTAAGTGGTTAAGATTAAAGAACCCTCGAACATATAAAGGTTCTAAATATGCAATGATTTAGAACTATATGGACGAGTTTTGGTATAGAATTTATTCTGATTTTTGTTTTATTGAACTCATGGCTAGCATCTACATATTTATGAATCATATTAAAACTCGACATTCATTATAATTTTATCGTTCTTTTTTATACAACTTTCATTTACACAACCTGAATTCTAATAAGCTAATGACTGGTGGGATGTTGGGAAGGTCACACTCTTTGATCTGTTCTTGGGTGTCAGAATTGCTTAGTCTAATGTTGATATTTGTTAAATTCTAACTTTTATAAAACACGAAATCGAGCTCTAAATAACAGTAATATTGTGGATGTCAGAAATATTATTCATGTTTGACGTTTTATTAAACATAGTGCAAGTTGTGTTAGTGGGAAATAGTTTGAATGAATGGCGATGTCTTAGCCAGTCAGCACTAGTGGATACTTGGAGAAAACACTAGAATATTCTCGTGTAAAATTACTAATATACTAACGTTTTTCTTATTGTGATTCTTGATCCCTCTTAACCTTGTTTATTTGGAACATATAATTAAGTTCCTGTTCAACCGTCTTCGAAGAATACTGAGCAATACGAGTAACTGGACTGTAATGAGGATTTATAATATTTAGGAATTTAAATACGAGATATATTACGACTGCATCTGAGTACTTAAGTTTGGGTTTTTAAAGTAAGTTGGGGGTTCGTTATTTCTGAACGTTAAACATTGGTAGAATTGAAGATAAGTGGAGGTACTGATTGTCCCCTCAAAGCTGTAACCGAATTCAACTCTTATCAGCATTGTTTGGTTTGGATAGCGGGAAGTATGTACAGTAGTAGCAGAAAGGCTTTGGATATCCTAAATGATCCCAATTCATTAAAATACAATTAGAATTCACTTGTATCAAAATCATGACGTTTTCAAACTCTCGTAGTTGCATTAACTTGGTAACGTGTAATATAAATGAATACAACAGGGATCAGAGCTTAATACGTAAATACATGCTTGGTTATTAAGTTCCTTTGATGTCATATAAGTGACTTATATAAAACACTATTTCAAGAACCCAATTAAAAATAACAGAAAACTAACTTTAAAGTATACTCATCCTTGTTAGCATTTTTACCGCCTGATTTACAACCAGTTGATAATGAGGTTGAACCGCATGTATTGGATCTACTACTAGCAGCAGCCCCAGAAGAAGGTGAACTTACATTCGAATTATTAGAAAGAGTTGTTTTATTTGAAGTAATATTCATTGATGGAGGTGATTGTTTTGTTTCACAAGATTTTGAATTTGATGGTGTACAGTTCGATTTGGCTCTATTATTATTACTAGTTGAATTAGAACAAGTTGAAGTTGATAAACCAGATGTAACTGAAGCAAGTAGTGACGTGGATTTCTTGTGAACTAGTTTATCCTCCTTCATATCAGTGTCCCTCTCCATATGATTGTCATCAGAAACAGTATCTGGAACAACAGAGTTAGGGACAGATGGAACCTTTACAATTATCGTTTGAGCGAGAGAGACGGCCACATACGAATCAGGCTAAGGAGGTAGGATAAGAAACAAAACTTTGTAGCGAGGAACTAATAAGACTCAGAAACAACTGAAACAGCTAGACTAAGTCAGTTTTTCCGAATTACGAAGTATTGAGTTTAAATAGAAACTCTTTTTTACTATTTGCGCCAAATTAAAACAATTTCCTATGCATGTGAACACCTGTGAAAGGTTATTTCATGTCATAAATGATCGTCACTGCTTTTACAAGAGATCGCAGCTACTACGCAGAGTTGTCTTAAATAAACTGGACTCTGACAAAAAAGTAATTTTTATATTTTACAAACCAGCAATTCGACATTGTTTCTTTATTATTGACAGAATAGATAACATTATAAGACAATAAACTTAGTTTTCCCTGAGCATTATGTGCTACACATCTCCGTGCTAATTTGGTATGAAAACTAGGGACGATAGAGATGTGTCTCAATTTGCATGACTGACTGATGTTGTTAACTCTTGATTTTGAATTTTTCTATATTGAGTTGTACATGACTGTATGACTGAAAAACTTAAAATGATAAGCAATCGTAGTGGCCTTGTAATTTTTTGCTGAAACGCATAAGACGTGAGATGAGTGAAAGTTTTAAGTGAGTAAATTTATGCAACCTAACTGATAATTACTTGACTAAAAGCAGAGTCATAAAACGAACTAGCCACAATTCAAGATAGTAACAAGTAAATGGAAATATATGGACTAATCGTCTATTAGAGTACGTTAACGTCATATTTTTCTAATTTGACAGCAATTATCTCACTGAATAAAAGTACATAACTTCTCTCCTTAATATAAATGTAAAATTATAAAAAAGTACCTGCTCTGAAAGTGATGATGGTACAGAAGTATGGTTATTCACTGGTTCATCATTTCCTAACCGAAATGTACATTCTTGTGAAACACTACTATCATTTGAACATAAAGAAAGATCCGTACAATTATCACCACGAGTAGATGAATAGACGAGGCGTGTTGTACGGGGATGATTCAGAGACATATTCTTCTTATTAACACTTGAGGCAGGATGAATTTCTTTATCTCTGGAATGAATCGGGTTAACCCTATTTAATTCAGACATATTTCCAGATGAAGTTACATTTGGCACAGTGGATGTGGGAGAAGAAATAGCCAGTGTTGAACAGTTATTTTCACAAACCATATTCGAATGTTTAGATTTAGGAATGGTGTCTTTATTGAAAGAAAAAACAGAAAACATGAGGCACTTCAATATAATGAGGTACTTGAACAATAGATGATATTACGTCCCACCATAGCCTGAACACAAAAAAAACCAAATTATCAATCGAAATCAGAATAAATTTTACATTACATAATGTTACTTAAGTTGACTTGCTATTATACCTATGAACAAATTAACCAAAATTCCTTAGTTCAATAAAGTCGATTTTCAGTGTAGATAAATGACTTTCTGTTGAAAATGTCACTTGAAAATTATGGGTTCTGTGACCAAACGAAAGTTCAGAAAAACTAATTTAGACCAAGTTATAAATCCTTAAATCTCTGATTACAATTATTTTGATGTACACAGTCCACTTAATAAAATTAGAACTGCTTATACTGTGGTTCATGGTACTTATATCGACAGACATAAGTAGTGTGTAGCACCAATCGGAAGTAGCAAACCTGGTAGCAAAAGGCTAAGAAGCCAGAGTTGAAGACAAGGGAAAATAGAAAGGAATTGCGAACTTGAATAATCATACAGAATGTGAAAGACAAATGATGAAAATTTGTAGATGAAGTATTCAGTGGATGGTTCTTGAATTTTACCAAGATACTCTGCAATTTTGTATTAAAATACATTCGTTGTTCACACTTGTGTTCTCGTTCACAATAATACCACTAAAGTACATACAACAATAAAGTTTGTGATAATATCATGAATTATAATGCAAAGAACATCTAACAGGTTAAGATTAGCAAGTCACTTTGAGTTATATTACACTACCTTCATAGTTCTTAAAATGACTTAAATACATGAATATTCTATCATTTATAGATTCAATACTAAGATGAGTGAAGATAAAAACAGAATACAGGTCTGATAGTCAAAATCAAGAATCAGAACGAATTAATGAAATAGGTGACTGCTTCTAAGATTCAAAAGGTACATGGATGTGAATTTATCAATCATTGGTGGTCGTTAATTAATTTCCAGGTCTTTAATATTGTTTATCTCATTATGATTAAAATCCTTTACTTGTGATTGGATATACGAAGAAAAAAGTACGCGAAAGTATTTAACAGTATCTAGCAGTTACTTCTGCGATTCTGTAGAGATTCTTGAAAATGGAAACATACAAATAAAAAAAAAGGAATTTGAGAGGATTTTCTTGAAAATTTGAAGTGTCTTAACGAGTCCAAAAAACAAATCTACAAAAAAACCCATATTACTAAACATAATCAGTGAATTTCAATACAGCGACATTAGGCGCTAGGCATACGTTTTTAGATTTCATATGAAACAAGCTACTAAAGTATGTATTTCACTATGAAACCTTGATAAAAATGGAAATATGACTACCAGTATTTTACAGACTTCACTGATAATGATATACAATTTAAAAACCCATTACTCTTAAATATCTTAAACGTGTAGAAGTTATCGTCACCAGTAGTCTGTTTTGTACGAGTGACGTAAACGCAGAAAAAATATAAGATGCAAGAATCGAAACTTACCTGATTTTAAATAGCACCAAAGTTCCTTTGGTAATGCTTCTTCCAGAATCGAAAAAAACGTTATATTTTGTGCTTCCACAAACTTTTGTCTTCTCTGTGAATTAGGAATATATGAACCACACGAACATGTTAAAAATTTGCATTAAACAAATAAATTTGAGTGATAAATATTTTATTATCCATATGAGCATTGGTTCAAGTTGCCACATTAGCACAAAGAAAAAAACTTCATGACAAATCCAAGAGTAGTAGAAGTAGTAACAGTATCAATAATAATAATGAAAATTTATAGGGTGATATCGGGATTAGGTTCTGGAAGAAAACAAGAAATAAATGTCCCTCCTCCATTAAGAACTATTTTGAACCAAGAGATTTAAAGTCCCTAACAATTAGTTGCGATAACCACGCGACCCCTAACCAGGTAGTCTACAGCTACCTACATGGCTCAGTCCAATTTTTAACGACTAAGTAGACTGGTATTATGTCTTGCTTTGAAGGCCCCTAGCTTTCTTCTAATCTGTTCTTACTCCTAAATCGGAAAACAAAGGAGGGTGATGGTTTGGCATAAGAAATACCAACTTGTTGGATAAAGATTCACTACTTTAATAATCAACTTGCCATCTTTATCCGCAACCTCGGGATTGCTTACTTGGTGATCCCAAAATCTTTCAAAGATACCTATGATCAAATGCCAGTAACATACGGATATCCTCTATTCATAATGGTTAAGTTTCACACAAAGTGGGACGGAGTGAACTGCTGAGCAATAAACTCGTCCTTTGGTTGGCAGACAAAAAACTCATCTATGCCACAAGTGACGCCAGTTGGCAAAAACCAATCGAACCTTATAAATACAAAACGACATTTCATCACACATCAAGCCAGTGGAACTGACATGACTCCCAAGATAATTGAAGCGATCGACATGTTTAACTACTTCACTTTCTATAAATCATCCAGGCGCTGGTGTTAGTTAGTTAGCTACAACGTAGGACCAGGCACATATATGCATCGGTCCAGGTTGCCATACCTCATTAGCACAGCAAGATGAACACCGGATTCATAGGAGTGTTTAGGTTAAAGGTGGTAATATATAGGAGAAAGATTGCATATAAGGATACAGTACCGGAATATAGAATTAGTTCGTAGAAAGAAGGATATGAAGCGATTTTAATCTCTCAGTTTAAGGGAAGACAGGGAGTGTATACACCGACGCCATTGTGATCGATTTTGAGCCATGTCACCAAGAGTCTCCAACCATCGGTTACGAAAGTCACGCGGACCCCAACCAAGTAGTCTGCATCTACCAACATGGCTCAGACTGGAGGTTAGTGTCTTCAAGCACTGATGCCACGTTTTTGTTTGGCCACCCCTAACTTTCTTCCAACCATTTCCAATACCGGATAGCATTGCACGTCGTGGTAATCGGTGTTCAGGCATACGTAACACGTGGCCCAACCATCTCAGTCGATGAAGATTCATAACCTCATCAACTGATTTACCATCATTCCCTAATACCCTGCGTCTAACCTCACTATTACTTACCCGGTTATCCCAGCAGACGCCAGCAATATTTATTAGGCATCTGTGGTCAAATACTAACAGCTTACGAGTGTCTTCTACTCTTAATGGCCATGTTTCGCTGCCGTAAATTAAAACAGAACGGACTGCCGCGCAATATACTCGTCCTTTTATTGATAGACGTCCATCGTTCTAAACGCGTGGACTGGGAGCAGATGAGTGTAACGTCTTTTTCCGATATAATCTCACTTACACTTGACTTATTAATTCCAGTTTCTTTTATTAGTCTGTAAAGCTGACTTGTGTTCCCTATAGTCGCCACCTTTTCCTTCTCTTTTGCTTTCGTTGCCCACCACTGCTCACGGTCGTTTCTTAGACTTTTTCTTAACCTAGATCTGATTTGTTGTCGCTCTTTATCATGTTCGGAACCTGATGGGACGAGTTTGCGAGAATCCATCAGTGTGATAGACTTTGAAGAAATCTACTGGTTCTTTGTAACTCTGTGGTTTAAGTCACTAATAGATTTTATTGCTGTTTCCACAGCTGTTTGTATATCTTTCCAAGCAACATCTGGGTCAGCCTCGTTCTCAGAACTACCTAAGTGTGACCTCAGTTGTTCCTGGAACTTACTTTTGGTTTTCTCGTTGCTCAACTCAGTTCTAATGGGTCTTTTCAATGTGGCTTTTTTGCGTCCAGTGAGGCGCAAGCAGATGCGTGCCCGTATTAGAGCATGGTCGAAGTCCAAGCGCTGGTGTAGACCAGTCCTAAAGCAACATTTTGGATTTGAATAGAAAAACTCATCCAAAATATACTTGGATTGCTGCTTACGGTCTGAAGACCTTGGAATTTTTCAGTATCTTTATGAAACGGAACTATGCCATCTCAGTATCCGAAGTCAACAAATGAATCTCTGTAGATCAACCCCCGAAAAGTCAGACGAAAAGAGCATTATCACTAAAAGGTTGTCTATGACGAAGTTAAATAAAAATATCGAAAGTGGATAGCCCCGAATAAAACCGCTTGAGAGTGACAATTCCATATGTGCTGACTAGATTAGTAGTATTATTATTTGAAAACATAAACATTGGTACAAGGGGGCACCAAATATATACTCGCCAAACAATAACAGTGAGGTTGTGAAGCGATAGAGAATGCAGAGCGCATATAGTGAAAGAAGAACAACGAACGGAAACTAGTGTATAAGAATGAAATTATTATTATTATAATGGGAGAAACAGTTCGGTTAAGATACAACCACAAATAATGCTTTCAGTTAAAGAAGTTACGTTCACTAACGTAAGGAAAGAAAAAAACTACAGCAGGATCGCCACTGGCTTCTATTCTGAACCATGTCTAATAAAGTCTCTAGCCGCTGTGTTGCACCATCTCTAGGACCCCAACCAAAGAGTCGTAAAGGACTAACAGGCGTCAATCCTGTACACTTCCCTTCATACCATGACACCATGTCAAACACTGGCCACCTATTCGCTTTTTCCAACCAGTCCCACTGTCGGCGAATGATGCACGACGTGGAATTCTTTGGGACGACATTCGTAGAATATGTACAAGCCACCGAAGTGACACCGAATGAATGGTTGTCACTGTGCTCGAACACACGATGCCGAACCTCTGCATTACTAACATGGTATGCAACTGGATGTCAGCAATCCTTCGGAGACAACGATGATCAAACACAGAGTCGTCTAACATCCTCAACTCGGAAAGGCCAAGTTTCACAAGCATAGAACAAAACTGCTCTCACCGCCGTGTTGTAGATCTGACGTTTTACAGCCAGACTAAGATCACGAAGGTGCCAAAGATGGCCCAGATTGGCATAGGCCGCTCTGGCTTTCACTATACGCCTGCGCTAGCACTTACTCAGTTATTCAGATACATGAACTTCTCGACTAGTTCTATCCGCTCACTAACCAGGGTGAGTGCGGGTTTAGGGTCATGCCAGTCGTGTAGAAGTACTTTGCACTTCGAAGGTGCAAACAACATACCATACTTACTGGCACTGATTACCAACTGATTAAGTGCGGATTGCATGCCTTGGGCATTATCGCACAGTAACACAATATCATCCGCATACTCAAGGTCGAGAAGTCTTTCTCCAGGCAACAGATCCACACCGCCATTACTTACACCCATCAGAGCTGTTTCCAGAATGTTGTCGATGGCAAAATTGAAGAGGAATAGTGAGATTCGACCAGGAGTGTTCGAGTAGAGTCTGTACAAAGTTAATGTACTCATTTGGTAACAGCTTGCAATGACAGATACTGCTGCAGAACCTCACAATCAGAGTGAATAATAGTCCCATCTTTTTTCGAGAAAGTTTCACGAGCAGTCAGATTTTTGAGGCATGTTTCCATGATAAGTATGAATAGTAGTCTGTTTCTTATCGCCGCTACTTTTTCGCTTTTGATACGCACTACTGCTCACGATCATTGAGTAGGTTTTTTATCACCCTATGTTTAGGCTCCATCCGCTACTCACCATGTTCCGATGAGTTTTTGAGTATCTGTCAGTTCAGAAAACGCCGCTGAAACCCACTGATTTTTTTAACCTTTTGGTTCAAGTTACCGCTAGATCATACTGGTGTTTGGATTTCACGCCGAGCCACCTCGCGTTGGATATCAGTTTCATGGGTGAATAACTCCTTCTTTAGTCGTTCCTGAGATACATTCTTTACTTTTTCACCATTAAATGGAAATCTAAGGAGTTTTGTTTCCGTGTTTAATGTGATCCAGACAAATACGTGCTCGCGCACTAAAGCGTGATCTGAGTTTAAACATATGTTCCAGAATGAGTGACAGTCTTTAATCGACCCTCTTCACCGATGACTGATGAGAACATGGTGTGAGTTCGCCGTTAAGTCGATTGAAGGGGTCGCCATGTCAGACGATGTTTTTCCTTATGCTTAAAGTTACTGCTTTCTAAAAATAAACGGTTATACGAGCATAGTTGCAGCAGACAGTCTTTTAGGTGGACCGCGGTGTTGTAAGGTCCATCAAAGTGCCTTTCGTTTTGATTTGAACTACTTACTTGCGCATCAAAATCACTTATTTCTATTACTGTATACGGGCATTTAGCCTTTTGAAAGTTGCACGTTTCCTATAAAATTCATCGTTCGCTTCAACCAAATAAAAATAATTGGGAGCACAGGCAGAAGCAACGGTGTGTATCCACATCTTTCTGAATTTGTATTATCCAGTCTGGTCGGATAGCACACGAGCCACTGTCTATAAAAATCCATTACAAGAGACCCTATCTTATTTTTTAACCGAATGTAATATCTACACCAACGAGACCATGGGAATTAGCAGTGGGGACTGCAAATACACAGAAGATGAATAGCATTAGCTTTTTTATTTGAATGAGTGAATGCACTTGGATCCTTTGTGGACGTTTCGGATACGCCACATACATCGATGACACGAGATTCTAGAGTCTCAGCTAAGGCCTGTTGTCCTATCTGAAAAAGTTTGGACGTTGAAAGCTCCAACACGTGGTTTCAGGGAACCAGAAATAACATTTCGTGAACTAGAATCTTTAGCACTGGTGACACATGGCGATAGCGATATACATGTTGGGAGGGCGATAAGGATAGGGAAAATATTAAGAGGCGAGAAAGGGATTTGATTATCAACAAGATTATCTCTGATGTTGTCGGAGGTTATTCACACTGCGAAAAGATATTTCTCGTTGAGGGACCTGAAAGTAAACCGGGTAAGTAACATCCTTAGTGATCTGGAAGAGTAACCGTAGAGTATAAGGGAAAACTGCTTGACGATGGTCACTCATAGACTTTTCATGAGAAGTTCTGATGTGTAAGCTCCGCACTTCGAAATCCTCTACTACCGGAGACAGAAATCCGAAGGGTGAGATGAGGTGTGAATTTCATAGGACTGACCTTTTCTAACCCTCTCCTTACTTTGTGAGAAGAGAAAATCGCTGGAGATGCTGGTTGTTGGAGGTAAGCATAAGTAAAGCACTTGTTAGCTGAATACTGGATAAGTAACAGAAAACAAGCTTGAGTATATTCCTTGGAGCAGTTAACTACAAAATCAAACACATCTACAACAAAAACGTTCTATTAACGGGGCAATATTTAAAGTACATTAAACAAATTAGTACATATCTAAGGTATTTAGAAATGCACCAGATAAAACGGCATGTGATTACAAAAATATAAAAGGTAGTACTACGCATTGAAATAAATGAAATAACTACATAATGGTGATTTTTAGGAAACATTACTATTTTATTACTTGTAGATAAGAGAAAATTCAATGAAAATTCGATATAAGAATTATCCCTTTATTTTTACAAAGTTAGACGAACATTACAATGGTGTTAAAGATGTTTAAGCTGAGCTTACTTTACTAAGAATTTTTCCGTACAGAGATTGAATATATTAAGAACACTCTCACTCATTTATATGATCATTTAAATGGAATATGCACTGCATCAAATGCATCAATAACTGAATCACTCGATTTCTAACTACTGGGTTGCGAGTTCTAGCCGAACTGTTTACATCGGTTTGAATATCTAAGTAATGTTATTACTACTGAAAAAATGTGCGACATAAAGTCCATTACACGAATATTTACTTGATTACTTAGTTAAAATGGTTACGTTCTGTGTTTTCTGAAGCCATTAGATGATATTTTATCGACCTCATAAGCTCTTACTCATTATTGCGGAATTTTACACTAGCGGGGATTTAGATGAGCGAAAACATATTGAAACAATTTCTGAAGTAGTCACTAAGTTCACATTCATTGCACACTGAGTTTTATGGAACTCAAAGACTTCTGGGCATCCTCCAAATTACCATTGCCTAAGAACGTACTGACGGATAATAAACGTTTGGTGACTACCAAAATCTTTGTAATGACAAAAGTGCTTGCCTGGCATATGTTACCTGTGTCGCAGGCAAAATGTTTGTTTGTTAACCAATTTGTGAGTATATGGTGCAGTAGTACAGGGTTTCACAAGGATACTATTAAATTCATTATTCTCGTCAAAAGAGGAAAACAGGGTCATATACAGAAAATTCCCAAAACATTAGAACATATCTCTTGGCAAAAATGACTCTGATAAACGATATAATACGTTTACTAATACATTGCAGTCAGAAATGTTCAGAAAATTAGTGTCCATTTTATGTCTTGGGTTTAATGGAAAAAACAATTCAAAATAGGTACATACATACTGACAGGTTTGGTGTCAAAATCGAAAATGTCATTAAAAACAATAATGATTAGTTATTTTATCCTTAATTAAACCTTATCTCAATTGTTACTTAAGAGTGTATTTTAATGAGATCTCATGCTACCCTTTCTAATTAAAACCTCAATAACACAAAACCAGCAAGTGTTTAAATTAAAAAACCTCATGTTACTAATTATAATGTCATACATATCTAAATGTAAGATCTGTAGTATACCAGTGCATAAATATGAATAAACAATTCAACTTTTGACCTTATATCAAACCACAAGCCTACAATTAGCACTTAAACAAAGTAGTATGTTCATAGTAGCAGTGCATCACTATCAGTTTAGTTCAATAAATAAACAGTCCAGAACTTTGGGAAGTGCTAACAATTATTTCGAAACAAAACACATTTCATGCATTATGATACGGCCACGCGTATACAGCCTCTACCAGGGAAGTCCTACTCACTGCCTTCTCGTGGTGGGGGTGTTGTTTACGAAATTGAGAGAACGAAAAGCAAATGTCCGGCGCTTTAACCGGATCCCAAACCAATGGTGCACATGGGCTCCAGTATCCTGAAGGAACAAATGGCGTATGAACCAACCATTTGTCACCGGCTAACATGGGACTGCATCTCCTCACGATGCTCCACTGCCTTGTGGGTTAGACCTTTAGGTCGAAGGCTCGGGGTGTGGCCCCCTAAGAAAACCACATGCTTCGATCTGGGCACTCGGGCAGTATCACAGCTCTCACACAAAAGTGTGGCGCATATATATTTGGTGCCCTCTTGCACTAATATTTCTGTTCAAACAAACAATAACAAACAACAGTGCAGCGAAAAGTTGTTGACCACCTATCTACTTATAGACTCATGAATCAAATGCATGTACTTAGTTGAGTACAGTCTTAAGGTTAAACAGTTGAGCAGCGAATGTGAACTTTTCTTACTAATACTTTTACCACAAAAATATCATTCTTAATGGCGACTACTTAAAAAACAAAAAAGGTCCGATTGGTTTAATCTATAAGAATTAATAGAAAAGGTAGATGTTATTTGTTAAAAATTTATTAATGACCTCATACTGTCGAAACTAAGAATTACATTAGCCAATCTATAACCCTTCTCTTAAAGACGGCTAGATTCCAAAGACGGATTAGAACACACTGTATTCTAGTTAAGTCAAATATTTTCTGGCTGTGAATGTTAAGAAATACACTACGTTTTAAGAATTCGAACAGAATCAACTTGAAGTTTTTTTATTTGAAGAGGTTTATTGGCTGATAATAAATCAATCGTATATCATTACCCGAGAGTGCCAGGAAGAAGAAATTATTTCGTAATCATTCAAAATACTTTTTATATCAAGGGATGGTGGACCTGACTAAATAAAATAGAAAATAATAGAAAAATTATTGTAAAAGTGTGTGATTTAGCCAACTAAATGCGTCACACATGCTTTACGATTTTTGTAAATGAAGGTCTAGAAAAGCTGAAAATCTACGTACTTCATTATTGAGGAATGGGCAAATTAACTCAAGAAGCTTCTATTAGTTTAAATTTGATACTAATACAAAAGCACAAATTCAATTATGAAACTATTTGCTTGTACACCCACTAAATTGAGATAAATTATTTATAAAAAAATGAATTCATGAGTGACTCGGACAAATGTACATTGAATTAAATGACAAATGCATATAATGAGTCTACTTACCAAACGAAAATGATGTGAGATCATACTCTTTAGACTGAAACCCAAAGTTACAACGGGATAGCCAATGCTAGTGAGAAAGAACAATACATAAGATGATAAAACAATGATATAAAAACGATGTATTTGACGACTGTGTATGGACAGGAAAACAATGAAGTAAGAATTAAAATTCTGAATAATATAATCAATCAACAGCTTCTGTGATTTGAGCTACAAAAATAAGTATTGGACGTTTCGAAAAATGATTGTAAAAGGCATTCCAGATAAATGTTTTAGAAAGACGAATAATCTGCTGTGAAGCATATTTTAAGGCTTCGAATACATCAAGGAATAAGAGATTTGATCGCTGTTTGTTTAGATCAGCAGTAATGAAAATGATTGGATGGGCGCATATTTAGATTCCAAAGAGATAGACGCACCAATGACTGAGACAGAGAATGACAAGTATAATCGAACCTCACGGCTCTTACTCTTTAGAAAGGATTGACAATATTGATTTACACTTTTCGCTATTACGCCAAAGCTAGTCAGTCATTAAAAGTTCCACTAAAGCTACCGAATAAGGATATAAGAAATTTGAAATTCATGAGTTCTCCAAAAAAATTCGCGGTAAATGATGCACTGTTGTTTGGATAGATCTGAAGCACTGGTTGCAAATGTTAGGATCATTGGGTGAGCAACGTTGGGTTTAAATTCAAGATGATAAGGAAGAATGGAAAGTCAGTTAGTGAGGTAGTGAATGTTTATCAGCTGAGGTGCTTAAAGTATGTACTAAGTGTACAACCAATGTCTAACACCAACACACAATATTTATCGATGTAGGAATAGGTTGGAGAAAGCCAAGAGCAACCAAAATGTAGCATGAGTCTATTGAGTCATTCGATGTTGGGTTGGGCCTAGTAAGTAGATGTATACCACTTTGTGAGGGTCCGTGTGATGATTACGATTGGTAGTTGAAAACATTCGGTGACATGGCTCAGGGTTGATAGCAATGACACAAAATTATTCAACCCTCTTTTTCCTCTAGATTTTTAGTTTTAAAATTATCTTATACTTTCTATTCCACTAATTCGTTCATTCTTCCAGAATTATATTGTCTATACTTATTTTAATCGATTGATACTATTACTGAATGTATTTTTTTAGGATCTGTATTGATAATTTCATTTCACTGTGTGTGGTAATTTGAACTGATGCACATATGTGCCCGGTTCTACGTTGTATGACTGACCGACTGGTTTGAATAGAATACACCTCTAGCAAAAAACCTTCATTACAACTGTTAGTAAAATAGAAAATGATCATATCTAAAATTATTGTTGATTCAAACAAATATTGAGTATTCTAGAATCTAACGTATACATTATAATGTTAAAATCAGAAAAAAACGAGTAACATATGGTACAAGCTGATCATAACACAAGCTGTTTGAATAAGAGATGGAAAATAGATCACTAGCGACGGGAAATGACAAACACCAAAAACAGAAAACATCACTGAAACTGTCACTCATGTCCACGTGGTTTCTAAACGCTTTTGTTGGGAAGTAGCGAAAAATTTATAAATTACACAAATTACTTCGCCAAATATTACACAACACCCCGCCCCCCCCACACACACACAATGGTCCCGATATTAGACTACGTAGTTTTTGACTACATCAGTGGTACGGGAATACTGATTACCAAAGCATGAGAGTAGGTTGTCTATCTGGTTATTGATCTTCGGTAGATGTGAAATTAGTGTGAAAATTATTTTGTATAAAGCCTAGTAAGAAATAGAATTCCATACAGTAAATATGATTTTCAGCGCTTCAGTGACAAAAAGCTGCTTCGACGAGAAAACACTAAAAGACCAAAAGTAGAAACTGCGTATACACAATCTATCCCAGTTATTTAGAATGATTTACAATTATACCACTCATAAATGTATCAACTAAACACAGTGATTTCCACACGGCCTTTGGCTACATGTCTTTTGTGAGAAGTAATATTACTCGGGTGCCGAACTTACGTGGTAAAGTGTTCGGTTCTAGAACTTACAGAGAGATAGCTTGCTTGTTCCAAAATCCCTAGCATAAACAACCAAAGAACTTGGATTACGTCACCTCTTAAATAGTAATATATATCTTCTGTGAGTGGATATGCTTTATTAATTGAGTAGGGTTTAAATACTGCACAGAAAAGCTGTTAAATATCTCTACTGAACATAACTTTAAAAAAGGTAACTCAACTAAGCAAAGTTTATAAACTTACCAATGAGCTGCAAAAGGTCTGCAGAGATCTATACCCAGCGGCTGGCTTTTTGGATCACGGAATCTTACAGCTACCTCGACATAGAAGAATAAAAAACATAGTGCAACTGTTGGGATATACACACCACGATCTAAAATGGAAGAACGATATCTTTTTAAACATATATATAACAAGTATGTAAATACATAGCTAAAAAGTTAAACATTTAAAGTCATACTTAATGGGAAAATATAAGTCAGAACTATTAATATATGTTTAGCAGAAATACTATATTTCTTAAGATTGCCTAGTCGAACGTCTTGGTGTTCCATAGAAAGTGTTAATATTGGGTGAAGTATTAGTTCCCAGGAAGAGATATAAAGGTATTTTCATCTTAGGGTTTAAAGGAAGACAAAAAGTGTATACACCTACGCCATTGTGATCGATTCTGAGCCATGTCACCAAGAGTCTCCAACCATTGGTTACGATAGTCATGCCCACCCCAACCAAGTAGTCTGCATCTACCAACATGGCTCAGACTAGAAGTCAGTGACTTCAAGCACTGATGCCACGTTTTTGTTTGGCAACCCCTAACTTTCTTCCAACCATCCCCAACGCCGGTTAGCATTGCACGTCGTGGTAATCGGTGTTCAGGCATACGCAACACGTGGCCCAATCATCTCAGTCGGCGAAAATTCACAACCTCATCAACTGATTTACCATCATTCCCTAATAACTTGCGTCTAACCTCACTACCACTTACTCAGTGTTCCCGGCAGATGCGAGCAATATTTCTAACGCATCTGTGGTCAAATATTAGTAGCTTACGAGTATCCTCTACTCTTGATAGTCACGTTTCGCAGTCGTAAAGTAGAACAGGACGAACTCCTGTGCAGTATACTCGTCTCTTAATTGATAGATAGATATCTCACCTTCGCTATAGGTGATGTAAGTTGGCAAAAGTCAAACGAGCTTTCTGAATCCATGCAGAGATTTCGCCAGACACCAACTCATAAAGGCTGACCAGACCTCCAAGATAAGTGAAGTTGTTGACGCGTTCGACTACTTCACTCCCTATTCTTAGTTCAGGTGTTCACTCAGGCCAGTCCTGAAGCAACAATTCACATTTAGAGAAAAAGGAACGCATCCCAAACATCTTGGCACTGGTGCTCAATGCTACCAAAAGACTGCATTTTATCAGCGTCATCACCGAACACGAATATTTCATGTGTGTATTCCAAGTCAATAAATGGACCTCCTGGTAGGGGACCAATTCTCGAAAATTCAGTCGACGAAAATGTCATTTCCAGCAGTAGGTCTATGATGAAATCGAACAAAAATGGAGATAGTGGGCCAGCCTAGTTTTCTCGTCTTTGCAGTTCACGAGTCTTTGTTAGGCACCCGATAATTATTGATGCTAGTATTGTGTACGCTATATTAGTTAAACTAATCCCTCTATAGTCATCACAGGAAGATTTTGATCCTTTCTTATATATTGAGACGATCAGTGATTGGTATCAGTTAGATGGGATTACATCCAGATCCCAGATTTTAGCTAAAATATTAGTCAAACCAATCGCTAAAACTGGACCACCATGCTTAAAGACTTCTGCAGTTAATCCATCTGGACCGGCTGCTCTTCCTCGTTTCAGATTACCTATAGCACTTTGGACCTCGATTAGAGTCGAGGGGTCCATTTCAATGTTCCATTCAGACTATTTGGGAATGATGGGTAGTTGTACAGTAGCTGAACTGATCCTCAAAGTGCTCCGCCCATTGTTCTCAACGTCTAGACTGAGAGCAGCTAAGAGTGCCATCTTTTTCCTAGATTGCCTCACATTTAAATTGTTAATCCCGGTTTCTTTTATTAGTCTGAAAAGCTGTCTTGTGTTACCTAAAACCGCTGCCTTTTCTATCTCTTTTGCTTTCGTTGCCCACTACTGCTTACGATCGTTACGTAGACTTTTGGTTAGTCAGTCAGTCAGTCCCAACGTAGGACCAGGCACATATGTGCATCGGTCTTAGATTTGATTTATTTCCGCTCCTCATCGTGTTTGGAGCCTGAACGGATAAGTTCATGAGTCTATCGATGCAATAGATATCGAAGAAACCCACTGGTTTTTCGTAACTCTTTGGTTCAAATCACTAACAGATGTCGCTGTTGTTCGTATATCTTCCCAAGTAACATCTAGGTCAGCCTAAGTGTGACTTCATTTGTTCCTGGAACTTACCTGTGGCTTACTCGTCGTTGAGTTCAATTTTAATGAGTATTCTTGATAGCGGATTTCGCCTGGAGCAACTCTGGGACTGCTTCCGGTCCCAAGCCAGGATAAAGAAGGAGGTTTGGACATGGGGTTAGCGACCCCATCCCGTAGGAAACTAACTCGCTAAAAATACGCTAACCAGAAAAAATTATTTAAACCACTTCAACTCTGCCCTGGGAGCGAGGTCTTCATTTAGAATAGTTATGACGCCTCATGATGAAAGCCGAGTTCCTTTGGAAGTCACGAGGACGATGCCCTTTCTGACAACTAGAGCAACCATTTATTTAGGTACATGGGATGTTCGTACAATGTGGGACACCGGGAGAGCCCTCCAAATTGCAGCAGAAATGAGGAGATACAACCTAGAGGTGCTTGGGATCAATGAAACACATTGGACGCAAGTTGGACAACAACGACTAGCTTCAGGGGAGCTTCTGTTATACTCCGGCCATGGAGAAGAAAATGCCCAATATACACAAATAGTTGCATTGATCCTGTCCAAACGAGCACAAAATGCACTTATAGGATGGGAATTTCATGGAGCAAGGATCATCAAAGTCTCCTTCAAAACAAAGAAAGAGGGCATTACAATAAACGTCATCCAATGCTATGCGCCTACCAACGACTACAATGAAGACGCTAAAGATCAATTCTACAATAGACTGCAGTCAATCGTCGAGAAGTGCCAACAAAGGACCTGATCATTCTGATGGGAGATTTCAATGCCAAGGTTGGAACGGACAACACTGGATATGAAGACATTATGGGACGACACGGACTGGGAAAAAGGAACGAAAATGGTGAGAGATTTGCAAACCTATGTGCCTTCAATAAACTTTTCATATGCGGCACCATATTCCCACATAAACGCATTCACAAAACCACATAGACTTCACCGGATCACACTACACAAAACCAAATCGACCATATCTGCATTAACAAAACGTTCAGGAGGACGATGGAGGACGTGAGAACCAAGAGAGGAGCTGATATAGCATCAGATCATCACTTGCTGATCGCCAAGATGAAATTGAAACTCAAGAAGCACTGGACAACGGGGCGGACAATATCACAAAAGTTTAATACGGCTTTTCTTCATGATACTGACAAACTCAACAAATTCAAGATAGTCCTCAGCAGTAAGTTCCAAGCCTTTCATGATCTACTCAATGGAAAGGGAAAAACTATGGTTAGCAACTGGACAGAAATAAGAGGTAATCACTCCAACATGTCATGAGGTTTTGGGCCACAAGAAGCACCATCACAAGGAATAGGTCACTGTTGACATATTGGATAAGATTCAAGAAAGGAGGAACAAGGAGGCAGCAACCAATACCAGTCGAACAAGAGCAGAGAAAGCCAAGGCACCAGCTGAATACACAGAAGCAAACAAGCAGGTGAAGAGGAGCATCAGAACTGACAAACGTAAATATGTGGAAGATTTAGCAATGACGGCGGAAAAGGCTGCAGGAGAAGGAAACATGAGACAATTGCATGGTACAACAAAGAAACTCGCCGGAAATTATCGTAAATAAGAACGACCAGTTAAAGGCAAGGAAGGCGAGGTAATCACCAACACTGAATAACAACTAAACAGGTGGGTAGAACATTTCAAAGAACTCTTGAGTCGACTAGCCCTACGGAACCCACCCAACATCGAAGCAGCACCCACGGACCTCTCACTCAATGTTGGCCATCAGAAAAATCAAGAGTGGCAAAGCAGCAGGACCAGACAACATTCTAGCAGAGGAACTGAAAGCAGTAACCACAAAGATACTCCATATTCGCTTCATCAAGATTCGGGATGAAGAACAAGTACCAACAGACTGGAAAGAAGGACACCTGATCAAGATACCAAAGAAAGGCGATCTCAGCAACTGTGATAACTACAGGGGCATCACTCTTCTCTCAATGCCGGGAAAAGTCTTCAACAGGGTATTGTTAAACAGAATGAAGGACTCCGTAGACGCCCAACTTCGAGAACAACAGGCAGGATTTCGTAAGGATAGATCCTGTACAGACCAAATCGCAACTCTACGGATCATTGTGGAACAATCAATTGAATGGAATTCATCACTCTACATCAACTTCATTGACTACGAGAAAATATTTGATAGCGTAAACAGAACACTATAGAAGCTTCTTCAACACTACAACGCGCCTGAGAAGATAGTCAATATTATACAAAATTCATATGATGGATTAAACTGCAAAATCGTACATGGAGGACAGTTGACAAAGTCGTTCGAAGTAAAGACCGGTGACAGGCAAGGTTGCTTACTCTCACTCTTTCCCTTTCTCCTGGCGATCGACTGGATCATGAAGACGTCAACACCTGAGGGGAAGCATGGGATGCAGTGGACAGCTAGGATACAGCTGGACAATCTAGACTTCACAGATGATCTAGCTCTTTTATCGCACACGCAACAACAAATGCAGGAGAAGACGACCAGTGACGAAGCAGTAGTAGGTCTCAACATACACAAAGGGAAAAGCAAGATTCTCTGATACAACAACATGCAATAATCGAATCACTTGATGTAGAAGATTTGGGAGATGTAAAAACCTTCACATATTTGGGCAGCATCATTGATGAACAGGGTGGATCTGATGCAGATGTGAAGGCGAGGATCGGCAGAGCAAGAGCAGGATATTTACCACTAAAGAACATCTGGAACTCAAAACAATTGGCAACCAACACCAAAGTCAGGATTTTCAATACAAATGTCAATACAGTTCTACTGTATGGGGCGGAAACTTGGAGAACCACAAAAGCCATCATCCAGAAGATACAGGTGTTTATTAACAGTTTTCTACGTAAAATACTTCGGATCCGTTGGCCAGACACTATCAGCAACAACCTACTATGGGAGAGAATAAACCAGAACCCAGCGGCGGAAGAAATCAAGAAGAAGCGGTGGCAGTGGATAGGACACACATTGAGGAAAGCACCCAACTGCGTCACAAGGCAAGCCCTCCCATGAATTCCTCAAGGCTAAAAGAGGAGATGAAGACTAAAGAACACATTACGTCGAGAAATGGAGACAGACGTGAGAAAAATGAATAAAAACTGAATAGGACGGGGACAGAAGGCCCAGGAGAGAAAGGGTTGGAGAATGCTGGTCAGCGGCCTATGCTCAATTGGGAGTAACAGACGTAAGTCTTGGTAGCGATTTATCTACGTTCAGTGGGGTGCAAGCAAATGTTTGATCTAATTAGCGCATGATCATAGTCTAAAAATGTATTCCAGAATGAGCAGCAGTCTCCTACTGAGCCTCTCTGACGACGGCTGGTGGCAGTATGGTCTATTTGAGTCTTTATGCTTAAAGTTAGTGCTTGTTGGAAATAAACGATCATCTGGGTATAGTTGCAGCAGACGGATAACACTATCTGTTGGCTGAACCGAAGTACCGAAATGTCAACCTAAATGTTTTTCTGTTTGCTTTAAGCTACCTACTTGGGCACTAAAGTCATGTTCTACGAGTATTATGACCACATTAAGAACCTGTATGCGTTTCGGAGACACAGCATATACTAATCGTACTAAATTCTAGGATCTTAGTCAAGAAGGCCTGCTGGCTGATTTGACAGAGGGTACATACGTCGAAGGCTTCAGTGGTTAGTTTGAAGCGAGGTTTCAGTAGGCCTGAGACAACATTTTGTGCACTAGAATCGTTGGTCATGGTGATACTTCAGTAAGAAGTTCAGAGTTGATAGTCGAGATAGAAGGTATAATAAGAATTGAAGAGGGAGATTGGTTATGAATACAGTGATCATGAGTGTTGTTAAGGGTATGAGGGCAGTTACCACTCCCCGGTTGCCCAAACCGTGGAAGGGTTCTTCTAGCGGTACTTGAAAGGGAAACCGGGATAGAGTTGGTCTTAGTAACCTGTGAGCGTGACCACAGTGCCTAAAGGACAAAAGCTCGAGACCGGTCACACACGACCTTTCAGTGGGTAATTTTTGTGTTAGCTCCGTAATTGTTGAAATCTTACATGAATAAACACAACTATTATGCACATCTACAGAATACTTTACGGCTAAGGTGACGAAAGTAAACAAAACGAATCACCGTGCTTAATAATGAAAGTAATAGGACACCAAGCAGAGGAATTTTTTTAAAAGCAGTAGAATTTACTGATAACAGCAGCCATCTATGTAAAAAACAAGCAAATGGGTGTATAAGTAAATGATGCGTAGAAAACACTATTACTAGACATCCCGTCACCACATTACCACTAGCCCGCAAACCGCATTTCACACTATCTGGTTCATATATAAATGATTGATAGCTTGAATGCTTCTCTAGGCGAAACAAGATCACGACAATATTTGATTTTCTGTTGAAAAAATACTTTGTAGAAATTGTTACAGGGAGAAGATAAAGTCAACGGTATTACAGAAGGGAAAATCATAATGCAAATTTGAATCAAAAAGTACAGTGTTATTCAAAAAAGGGATCAACACTAATAATTTGAGCGTATGCTTCAAACAAAAACCCATGACCATCTACTGCTGTAATTCCAGACTAGTATTTGAACATGAAGTGCGACCAGAATTACATGTTAACTATGACCTTTCTAGGGATTAGTGTTTGACTTATTTTTGGGGTCAAGCTCTAGAGCACTTTGAAAAGTCAACAGATGACAGACAATAAAGGTTATTTTGACACAAAAATATTGTACTCTCGGAGTGTTTCATAAACTCAAAAATAAAATGGAAAGAAGTAATTAACCTCTTGGAACAAATGACGTAAACAAAGAACAGGTTAAATTGGGGTAAAATATCAGTGTATGAAGTGTTGAGAAATACTATGATCAACACTGAGTTATGTCATCTAATGTTAAAAGCCCCCCACCTCCTCAAAGAAATAAACAACGTAAAATGTATGGTAACGAACTGCAAGAGAAATAGAGGTTAAAAGGGACAAGTGAATATCAAAGAACATTAAACGGAACTTTCTACACACCCATATAGAAAGTAGAATCGAAATACTGAACAATTTTTACAAATTTTGTAAACTGAAATGAAAAACTACCAAGAATTTAGTAGAAATAAGTATTGAAAGATTTGAAGTGTGCAATAGCCGGTTGTATTTCTGGGTAAAACTTAGCTTTGAGAACTATCAAGTACTTAATATATATGGATTTTTTATTTTTTATTATTAGACAGAAATATAAAAAGACTCACCTGTTTGCCATAAAAGATGTATCCATACACATGAACTACCAAGCAGGTAGATCAATGTAGTAGGTACAAGGAAGTAACAAAGCAAATCAGCCATGATTGCAGTGAGTGTAAAGAACAGAGCAAATGCCTAGAATGTATAAAAATGGCGATTTTTGATTATGAAAACCTAAATTAAGAAGAACGAAGTCTTCAAGAAATTGCCATTATTAGTAATGCAGCGAGTTTCTATTACATTTTTCGACTTTTAGCTGTGTTTAGCGAGTACTAAAAACTCTTGTTAACTTGAAACTTACACTCCACTAGTCAATTTTCTGAAGCTTACTCATCATAATTTGAACAAAATTTATCAAATGAACATTTGAGGGTCCCATGATTTACGAAATATGTACCTTAGCTAGAGACTTGATATTGATTAGTTCCTGTCAGCTTCTGAAAAATATGCACTACACTATAAATATACATCACACAAATTTATTGAAAAAGTGGTATTTTAAAATATTCACTTAAAGCTCCGTATATGACATAAAATGATCAAGTAGGCTATCATCTCTTGTGTAACTGCCCATAAAGCAAATCAGAAGTCATTGTTTTGATGAGAATATCAAAACGATCAGTAATTTTTTTATTTCAAAACATAACAACCTAGAGTTGTTCTTAAGATCTAGTTTGGAGTGGCCTTCATGAAGCCTACATAAAACACCCCCCAATGACGTGAAACAGTCGAGGGTGGAGAGAGTAAGTTCTCCCTCTCGAAATGCTCTCACATGACCACTCATACACAGCCACTATCAAGAAAGTTCTGCTCATTGCCTTCTAGCGGCAGGAGTGTTGTCTACGAAAGTGAGAGGATGAAAAGCGAATGTCCAGCGCTTCAACCGGGTTAGTGTACACAGAGGGTCCACCTATGGATGTTGCAAAAACCTGATTTCAAACCAGTGAAACACATGGGCTCTAGTATTCTGAGGGAAAATGGCGTACGAACCCATATTTTGTCGCCAGCTACTATGGGACTGCATCTCCTTACGTTGCTCCACTGCCTTGTGGATTAGACCTGTAGGTCAAATGATTGTGGATAACCGCCCTCATACCTCTAACAGCACCCAAGACCACTGTATTCATAATCAACCTTCCTCTTCAATTCCTATTATTCCTCCTACATCGACTTTCAACCCTAAACTTCCTCCTTCGGCTTCTTCCTCAAGTGTCACCATAGCCAACGATTCTAGTGCACAAAACACTGTCCCAGGTCTACTGAAACCTCGCTCCAAACTACACATTGGAGTTTTCAACGTACGCACTCTATGTCAAATCGGTCAGCAGGCTTCCTTGGCTAAAACCCTACAGTCTCTTTCCATCGATGTATGCTGTGTCTCCGAAACACGCATACAGGATTCCAGTGTGGTCATTCACTTGACCTCACCTCGGCAAAACAGAGAGCCAACGAGATACACCCTACGTGTATCTGGTGACCCGATGGCCAGTTCTCGTGGACTGGCAGGTGTAGGCATAGCATTAAGCATGAGGGCGGAACAAGCACTGCTAGAGTGGATCCCCATCAACAGTCGTCTATGTGCTGTTCGGCTAAACGGCTCGGTAAGAACTCGGAAGGATAGGAACACACGTCGTTGCCTTTTTGTCGTTTCTGCCTACGTTCCCACTGACTGCAGCTCAGATGAAGTGAAGGATGAATTTTACAGAAACCTATCTGAACTTCTTCAGAAAGCTAAGCGTTCAGACATAGTACTCGTAGAGGGTGATTTTAATGCTCAGATAGGTAGCTTAAACCACACAGAAAGGCATTTAGGTGGATATTTTAGCATTCCGGCACAGCGAACAGATAATGGTGATCGTCTGCTGCAACTGTGCTCAGACAATCGCTTATCTTTAGCAAACACAAATTTTAAGCATAAGGAGAGAAATCGTCTAACATGGCGACCCATTGCACCAAACCAACGATGGACTCAAATAGACCATATTGCCATCAGTCATCGTTGGAGAGGGTCGGTAGAAGATTGTCGCTCATTCTGGAGTACCTGCTTGGACTCGTACCACGCCCTAATACGGGCACGCATCTTCTTGCGCCTCACCGGACGCAAAAAAGCCACATTAAAAAGACCCATTAAAACTGAGTTGAGTAACGAAGAAACCAAAAGTAAGTTCCAGGAACAACTGAGCTCACACTTAGGCAGTTCTGAAAAAGAGGCTGACCCAGATGTTGCTTGGAAAGACATACAAGCAGCTGTGGAAGCAGCAGTGACATCTATTAGCAACTTAAACCACAGAGTTTCAAAGAACCAGTGGATTTCTTCAAAGTCTATTACACTGATGGATTCTCGCAAACTCGTCCCATCAGGTTCCGAACATGATAAAGAGCGACAACAAATCAGATCTAGGTTAAGAAAAAGTCTAAGAAACGACCGTGAACAGTGGTGGGCAACGAAAGCAAAAGAGATGGAAAAGGTGGTGACTATAGGAAACACAAGACAGCTCTACAGACTAATAAAAGAAACTGGAATTAATAAGTCAAGTGTAAGTGAGATTATATCGGAAAAAGACGTTACACTCATCTGCTCCCAGTCCACGCGTTTAGAACGATGGACGGAACACTTTAGGGAACAGTTCAGCTGGCCTTCAGCTACTCTACAACTACCCTCCATTCCCAGACAGCGTGAATGGAACATTGAAGTAGGTCCCTCAACTCTAGCAGAAGTTCAAAAGGCTATAGATAATCTGAAACGAGGAAGGGCTGCTGGTCCAGATGGACTGGCTCCAGAAGTCTTTAAGGATGGTGGTCCAATTTTAGCGGTTAGGTTGACTAATATTTTAGCTAAGATCTAAGAATTAGACGTTATTCCATCTGACTGGTCGCAATCACTGATCGTTCCAATATACAAGAAAGGATCAAAATCATCTTGTGACAACCAGAGGGATTAGTTTAACAAATATAGTATCTAAAATACTAGCCTCAACAATAATCAGACGCCTAACTAAGACTCGTGAACTGCAAACACGAGAAAATCAAGCTGGCTTCAGACCTGGTCGTGGCTGCATCGACCACATATTCACCATTCGTCAGGTTCTAGAACACAGGCATACTTATTGGCGTCCGACGATGGTGGTCTTTCTTGACTTAAAAGCAGCATTTGACTCGGTAGACCGCGAGATTCTGTGGCAGTGTCTGTCATTGAAAGGCATACCCCAGAAGTACATAAACCTTTTAAAGGCTCTTTACTCGAACACTACTAATCGAGTCAGAGCTTATGGCGAACTGTCATCTACTTTTGCAACCTCAAGTGGTGTCCGTCAAGGATGTCCACTTTCTCCATTTTTGTTTAACTTCATCATAGATCTACTGATGGAAATAACTTTCTCGTCGACTGAGTTCTCGGGTATTGATCTCCATCCAGGAGGTCCACTTATCGACTTATAATACGCAGATGACAGTCCTGTTTGGTGAAGACGCTGACAAAATGCAGAGTCTTCTGGTAGCCCTGAGCAACAATGCCAGGATGTTTGGAATGCGCTTCTCTCCCTCTAAATGCAAGTTGTTGCTTCAGGACTGGTCTGCGTTAACACCTGAACTAAGGATACGGAGTGAAGTAGTCGAACGCGTTGACAACTTCACTTATCTTGGAAGTCAGATCAGCCCTAATGGGTTGGTATCGGACGAAATCTCAGCACGGATTCTTAAAGCTCGTTTGGCTTTTGCCAACTTACGTCACCTGTGGCGAAGGCGAGATATCCGTCTATCAATAAAAGGACGAGTATATTGCGCGGCAGTCCGTTCTGTTTTAATTTACGGCAGCGAAACATGGCCATTAAGAGTAGAAGACACTCGTAAGCTGTTAGTATTTGACCACAGATGCCTAAGAAATACTGCTGGCGTCTGCTGGGATAACCGGGTAAGTAATAGTGAGGTTAGACGCAGGGTATTAGGGAATGATGGTAAATCAGTTGATGAGGTTATGAATCTTCATCGACTGAGATGGTTGGGCCACGTGTTACGTATGCCTGAACACCGATTACCACGACGTGCAATGCTATCCGGTATTGGAAATGGTTGGAAGAAAGTTAGGGGTGGTCAAACAAAAACGTGGCATCAGTGCTTGAAGACACTAACCTCCAGTCTGAGCCATGTTGGTAGATGCAGACTACTTGGTTGGGGTCCGCGTGACTTTCGTAACCAATGGTTGGAGACTCTTGGTGACATGGCTCAGAATCGATCACAATGGCGTCGGTGTATACACTCCCTGTCTTCCCTTAAACTATGAGATTAAAATCGCTTCATATCTTTCTTTCTAAGAACCAATTCTTTCTGCTTGTACTATATCTCTATATGCAATCTTTCTCTTATATATTACCACCTTTTACCTAACCACTGTTATGAATCTGGTGTTCATCTTGTTGTGTTGATGCGGTATGGCAACCTCGACCGATGCACATATGTGCCTGGTCCTACGTTGTAGCTGACTGACTGACTGAGGTGACTTGTTTATTATCCAAAGGTTTGTTCACCGAACGAAAAAGGACGTAAATCTGTGATCAGTGGGCGAAAAACGATAAAAGCGAACAACAGCAACATTGCAGTGATAATTGTTATTGATTATCTGTGGGTTGGCAAAATGATGAGAAGCTAACAAACAACAGGATTTATGAACACAAAATTGGTTTGTAATTGTTTTCCTGAAGTAATTAGCTTACGAGATATTTAAAAATGCAGCCTATAATCTCTATATAAAAGTTGGTGCAGGGAAACTTAGTCATCCCCCCTGAATTTACGAACCAATCCATACAATGTACATTAATGGGATTTATTCGTTACTCAAATGACAGCTAATATTTACAAGACGAACCTTGAACGTTTTTAAAGTGATCCTTAAATAAATTGCCTCGAAGTACTCTACATAAGAGACTGAGAAATATAAACCCTAAATATATGGCTTTTGATTGACGTCAAACTCGATAATTAAAATACGGCATACCAATGTTTTCACGTTACAAAAATAAGTTTCTAGTAATTGACTAGTGCATAAACAGCTCTTGAAATAAATTTACACAGTTGGGTTGAAAAATATTGGAAATTAATAAATGACTCAGATCAAATTAGAATGCTTACCAGACCCTGATATCTGAATGAATCATTAACTGTTCGTACCATTAGCCAACAAGACCAAATAAATTCAAAACGAAGATCCGTAAAAAAGTCCAGCATTATTATGCTTGCCCAAGCCAATAGAAGTTTAAAATAGGTTCCAAATCTAAAATTTCGGGAATCACGTTTACTATTACAGTACTCTTAACACACAGCACTACGATTTAAGTTATGGATTCTGATTTAAAGAAACAAAAAAATATTCAGCCCAACAGCAATCCAACACGCTCTATTTATGAGCAGAAAAACAGTAAGCGGTTTCCTTAAAACTAAGAGTGATAAAACCCAAACTCGAAGCCTTCTGCTAATTAGGTACGCATTTTCACTAAATTAAATGTTTTGTATATTCAAATGGAAAATATTCAGTAATGTCTGAATTCACGATATCAAAAGCAAGATAGTTGTTCTTAGAACTGCGGTTTAGGAGTTAAGATGTTGGTATTCTTGAATCAAACAATTTACAAGCAGCACTGATCTTAAATGCGATATACCAGAAGTGATTTCCATCGTGAAACCACATGCATAATACATGGAACTGTCTTAGTACCTAGTAAGACCATTCACGGAACCTGTTTGACGACAATCAACATTTATTAACCATCGATTAAACTTGTGTTGTTTCATAAATAAGTCTTTTGGATATTATAGTTTCGATTCCGTACTTAACATGACATTCATTATAAATTGTTAAAAAATTATACTTTAAGACCGACTTTGATAATGGTTAGCTATCCAACCCAACCAAAAACGGCCACAAAGACAAGTGATAGAGTCGATGGACACGCCAGAAATACCCAAATAACCTGGTGAGTTTATAATTATTCGAAGCGGGATTACAATATTTAGCTTCAGAGGTATATTTGGAAATCTTACAGAATGTACTGGAATTTCTAGACAGAAACCATATAACCTGTCTTTCACAATTTTAAAGCAGCAGTTATTCATACAACAATTACTCGCGATTGGTATTCACATGAGAAATGGCTATATTCAAAAAAAGCATCCTTCTTTAGTACATAATGAGCTTTGATTGAAAGTCCAGGAAATGAAAGACCTCATTGAGTAGTCCACGCCACAAGACGTAAAAATTACTTAATCCATATAGGTAACACACAGCTGAAGCTATAAACACACTGAGAACTGGTATACGATTGTCAGACGAATATATCTGTTGATTAGCTTTTAACTCTAAAAGGTAATAACGTACCTCACTCACGGCAAAATATACGACAGTGAATAAAGTGCAGCTACAAGCTTCTACAATAAGCAACACAAGTATTTTATTTAATGACACCAGACCATATATCGACTTTGACAGAGACCCTTCCCAGACATTAATAGCCTTAAAACTCCAGGATTCACTTCGATCGGCTTAATCATAGGAGTTTTTTATCTGATTTCTTATAAAAAGGACTAACACATAAATTATTCAAAGCCCAGAACGAACGCATCAGATATTTGTGTCTTGGAAGGTGACGGATTTAGGGATTCACTGGATTACCGGTACTCATTAAAATCCTCTACAACTTGAACAAGTTCAGATCTGACACAACTTCAGAGGAGTACTCTAAAGCTAGTGCTACAGAATAGAAAAACGGAATACATGTTTTCTTCCAGATCCATCAGGTTAATCGAACTTGGATTCCTTTAGTTTCTAGAACAGATCATGTAACTTTCTGGGCTCTTCTAACCAGTACTTAATAATTTGGAACTAATATTTGCATCCAAGTCTACTATCTTTGAGACTTTGAAAACTTACATAAAATGAAGCGATTCGTTCGATTTGTTTCTGCGATTGTTTCTTTTTATTCTTCCATGTTCATAATTCCGTCTTCGAATATACATTACTTGAGTCCAGACACATTTGACCAATTCTGACGGATTTTGAACCCCGCGCTTCTAAGTAATGGCTCGCTGAAAGCTATTCAACCATCATGTTGAGACTTTTGGAGATGAGTAATAAACACCGTCTCGTCTTTCAATCGTCTTATAAAAAATTCTGCGAACAACTTAACGATACGTTCTCATCGGATTAACAGATGAGCTGGATAAGTTGAAATTGAACCACGGGACGTGTTAGAGATAATTAAAATAATCCATTGTGTCGCTGAGTATGAAGAAGAGAATTCAAAGAATAAAATTTTTGTTTCGACGAAATCATTTACTTAAGACTTACACTCGTATTTATAGTTATATGGAAAATGCATGTCCATAGAAGTATATAAAAGATTGCACCATAAATTTATTCGTCCCTCTTACTATCGACCGATTTTACGCAATAATCAGGGGTTAAGGATGAAAATAATTTGTCCGGTTGACAGATATGAAGAAAAAGAACAGGCATAAAGGTAATATTACTATAAACTGAATAATAACCGAGAAAACTCGTATAAAATAAATTATTAACTGACGAGAGCTTAAGATTATATAACAATAATTTTTAAATTCAATATTTATCGAATAAAATTGAGGAGAAAAAGTGAAGAAAAAGACCAAAACAGCGCTAAAGTGAATTAGGCCAAGAAAGGAAGAGAGATTTGACGGATCGTTTCTGCACACAAAGTTCGGTCTTGAATTCGTTGATTACTAAGGCCTCAGCAGTGCATAAAATATTGACTCGACATCCCTTCAATCCAATTCCTTTGAATTTTTCGATTACTTTAGAAGATGAATCATTTTAAGTGATGAGTCCACAGTTTTTTTAAAGTGCTCCTGTATAGAACTAGCAAATGTTTTACATTCACCTTTTAAAAGCCAAGCCGGATAGTGTTCTGAGATGCGTTTGTAAAGTGATCGCTTTGTGCGGTCTATGTAATCTGCCCCACATGAGTAAGTAGATTTATAGGTACACACTGTTTTGGCCCAAAATGGAAGTTTTTTCGCAACACATCCATTAGTGGTGAGTCGGCTTGAGAAAACAATTCGGAGCAAAGCTGTGTAGAAAAATTTATCCAACGATTTTGAAATCCGCTTATTTGAGATTTCATCAGCCGTGTCTCCTTTAAATTCCATATTCAAAAAAGGGGGTTTTCTTCGTTAATGTAGGTGCTTTTTTCTGGATGATAAGTTGCTATCGACGAATCTAGGTGGATAACCATTTCTGATGAGAGTCTGTCGAAGTTGAAATAGTTCTTCATCTATTGTGTCAGTAGGACATATTAGCCTGGTCCTGAGTGAATTGGGTTTCTCTTTTTACTTAGTTGGACCCAACTATGATATTTCGTGTACTGCAGGTCGGTTTTCCATATCTAGACCTCTGTAAAAAACATTCAGCTATATTCTTCAGTCGAACATCAAGAAAATGAAGTGAATTGTTTGCTTCTGCTTCCACTTGAAGAAGCAACGTATATTTTCTATGAACAAAGCGAGATAAAATTACAGGCAGGATCGCCACTGGCTTCTATTCTGAGGTTGTGAAGCGATAGAGAATGCAGAGCGCATATAGTGAAAGAAGAACAACGAACGGAAACTAGTGTATAAGAATGAAATTATTATTATTATAATGGGAGAAACAGTTCGGTTAAGATACAACCACAAATAATGCTTTCAGTTAAAGAAGTTACGTTCACTAACGTAAGGAAAGAAAAAAACTACAGCAGGATCGCCACTGGCTTCTATTCTGAACCATGTCTAATAAAGTCTCTAGCCGCTGTGTTGCACCATCTCTAGGACCCCAACCAAAGAGTCGTAAAGGACTAACAGGCGTCAATCCTGTACACTTCCCTTCATACCATGACACCATGTCAAACACTGGCCACCTATTCGCTTTTTCCAACCAGTCCCACTGTCGGCGAATGATGCACGACGTGGAATTCTTTGGGACGACATTCGTAGAATATGTACAAGCCACCGAAGTGACACCGAATGAATGGTTGTCACTGTGCTCGAACACACGATGCCGAACCTCTGCATTACTAACATGGTATGCAACTGGATGTCAGCAATCCTTCGGAGACAACGATGATCAAACACAGAGTCGTCTAACATCCTCAACTCGGAAAGGCCAAGTTTCACAAGCATAGAACAAAACTGCTCTCACCGCCGTGTTGTAGATCTGACGTTTTACAGCCAGACTAAGATCACGAAGGTGCCAAAGATGGCCCAGATTGGCATAGGCCGCTCTGGCTTTCACTATACGCCTGCGCTAGCACTTACTCAGTTATTCAGATACATGAACTTCTCGACTAGTTCTATCCGCTCACTAACCAGGGTGAGTGCGGGTTTAGGGTCATGCCAGTCGTGTAGAAGTACTTTGCACTTCGAAGGTGCAAACAACATACCATACTTACTGGCACTGATTACCAACTGATTAAGTGCGGATTGCATGCCTTGGGCATTATCGCACAGTAACACAATATCATCCGCATACTCAAGGTCGAGAAGTCTTTCTCCAGGCAACAGATCCACACCGCTATTACTTACATCCATCAGAGCTGTTTCCAGAATGTTGTCGATGGCAAAGTTGAAGAGGAATGGTGAGATTGGGCAACCCTGCCTAACCCCACTGCTTGGACGGAACAATGAAGAAAAGTGGTTATATGCTCTCATTCTGCCTGAGGTGTTTGTATATAGGATCTTTAGGATGTTAATGAAATTCTCAAGCACATTCTTCTTCAATAGACAATCGTGGAGAACAGTCCTGTCCAACGAATCGAAGGGACAACTATCGACTCGTTTCATAACGTTGGAAAACTTTCTAGCCCGTAGACCTATGTAAACAACGTTGTCACGTCCTTAGTCAGAAAGTCACCACGATCTTATAAAAAGCCGGAGGTAAGTCATCTGGTCCCGTGGTTTGTAGCGCTTCGAGAGTTGGAGTTCCTTGCGGAATCCCACCTCATTTGGTGGGTCAGTCGTCACCGGCCATGGAGGGCAGAAGAGTCTGACCGATGTTGCCGGAGCGGCAGGTTGAACTGCCCCTCAAAAAATTCTGCCCATCATCCGAGAGGTTTATGGATGTTAATGATTAGCATCCCGTCATCTTCGCAGATTGTTTCGCCCACACCAGACTTCTTGCTGCGAGTGCCTCGGATGAGTTGAAAGAGCTCCTATCAGCTTCCATATGCAAATGATGCTTCCAGCTCATTATCACGCTCCGACCATCAGTCTTCTCGGTCCTCACACAAGCTATGTCCAATTTCATTAAGTGACCGTTGTCGTTTGTAGGACAGGATTCAATGAGTTGTGACGATTCAGAAGAAACTCAGTGCTTATACGTGTGTCGCTTAGGAAGACGAAGTTGTTGGCCACTGAGAAGTAAATGAAGATTTGCGCAAACATGGGCAAGATAAGAGTCCAAATAGGTACTCTACATGGAGTTTCCGTCTTGTACACAACCACGCCAGTGGTAGCTGATCGCGATATGATCAAACTGAGTCCAAGTTGGCGACGCAGAGGGAGGACGCTATGTGGCATGTAAGCGATGTTAGCGCTAGCCAGAAGCAGTTTGTGGTCTGTGAACAGTTGTAGTAGACGGTCCATGTTATCTGTCCTGCAACCAACAAGTCCTCAACGGCCACGTAAACGACTCTCATCTGTGCTGAGACGTCCGACCTCAGCATTCAAGTCTCCGGCTAGTAATACAATATTTGTCGAACGCACTTTCTGGAAACGAAAAGTTAACTGATGGTAAAAATCATCCTTGATCGCATCTGGGCTGCAGTTTATCGGACCTCTGGACGTAATGTGGTGTGTAACGTTGTTGTTGACAACTGATAGCTTCGGTCGCGTTTTGTATATTTCTGGGTAATTTTTGTGTATCGTTTGATAGTATAGGTCGATTGTATGTTTGACCATGGCTGGCGGTGACATACACTCAGAGAGTTGTTCTGATGCTGCTCAGTCTACGTGACATATTAAGTGTACATTGGACGGTTACCATCAGCAACATCCTACTGTGGAAGAGGAGGGACGAACTTCCAACCGAGGAGGTAGTTAAGAAAAGATGCTGGATGTGAATAGGATACACATTGAGTGGATCATCAAACTGCATCACGAAGCAAGAACTAACTTGAAATGCTGAAGAGGAGCGGAAAAGCGGAAAGCCAAAGAACACACTGAGTCGGGAATTTGAATCAGACATGAAATGGATGAATCGGAACTGGAAAGGATTGCCCAGGAAAAGATGTGATGGAGAGTACTGGTGTGCGTCCTGTGCTCTTCCACGTAGCCCATGAAAATAAGACCCGACATAGTCTGTGGAAAACACTTAAGCGAACGATCTTGATAGAGTTTCAGGTTTGTAATATCATTTCTTGCCTACATCGACAGAATTTCTCATACTAAAAGTGGTGCAACGCCGTCACTTCTCTGAGTCAGCCACTTCAGTAACCATACGTTTTTCATAAGAATGTCAGGTCACAATTATCAACACCCTAAGAGGGGATCTTTACTGCTTGCTCTGTTCTGCATCTCTATCTTTCCATTTTCTCTGATTTTTAGACCTTCATTTGAGCTAATGAAAACACATATACGTAACATGCGACTTCGTGTTAATTCTTCTTTATTACCTTCGATATTTCAGACGATTTATAGAAGTGCTAACTAGGAGCCCATTAATTTTGTCGCCTGGGAGCAATACACAGAGCACAAAATAATAAGTTGAACAACCATTCACTTGCTACAATATGTCGATATACAGACAGCCATGAACATTTTTTTGGATTCTTTATCGACCACCAGGTGCTCCTAGCAATGCAAGTACTATAAAGTTCGTCGACTTTTACATTGAAGTTTTGAGTTCTAATAACATTCATATTCTTATGTATTACCAATCATCACTTGTTTGTACAATCAGTGTGTCTTTTGTTACATCAATATATCTGAGTAACTTATTACAGTAAATTTCGTGGCATTTGTGTCATTTTAATCCACATT